TGGTCTTGTGTGGCTCCTTCTATCAAAAGTCCTATGTAAATGTACCCTGTTCCTTCCCACATTTTTTTGAGTCTAGTATTAAGTGGCTTTCTGTGGGAGCAGGCTTGGCCTTTGGTCATCTTCAGATTGCTGGCTGCTTTAAAGTTTCTAGAAATTTGTGAATTGAGGCGCCAGGAAATTGAGGGGGTAATTGTACTGCTCCATGCCAGGCAGACCGTGCAAAAGTGCATGGGCAGCACCCATACATCTCTGCAGTCTACTTTTGCTTGGGACATATCAGAATAATCTCAGCCTCCTCCTGCCTCTGCCACTGCCTGGAGTCTCTGCAGTGTGTTCTGCAACCTTGCCCCTGGCATGTTCCTCCCACTCCAGTCCTGACCTGCTTCTGAAGCAGTGGCATGCTTTCCACAGTGCCTCTGAGGAAGGGGCTACTTTCACTCACCTGGGACCTTAGGGTGCATCCAGAGAAGTGTGCATGTGTAGGGGCACACTTTTCCCATGGTATAAAAAGTAGACCGCTGCTTTTTGCCCCAGGGCACGCCCCTCCTGGTGCACGGCACATTGGCCTGAGTGGTGTAGGGGAGGCTGGAGCCAGCATCTGTGCTGACCCCAGCAGCCTTACCAGGGGCCTCCCAGAGCAGCAGAAGCACCACCAGTCCAGCCGTATGGAGCCTGGCTAGAAGCCACAGCCACGCTGTGGCTGCCCAGGCTCTACTTCTGGTGGCACACGCTACTGTTGTGTCTTTACCACTTTTTTTTTGACACTGGGATCTCCCAGCGTCAAATTTTACTGCCACAATGCAAATTAGCAGTGTAGTGAATGGGTACACGTGCACTACATGTGGTTTGGGGCACCTCAAATAGCACATGCGTGCTCATCTGGACGCACCATTAGTTGTACAGGGTTTTTTTTTTTACAGTACATCCCAAGACAGGCATATTGGTTTGAGTATGAGCCCGGTGAGTGGATCCTTAGGTGGCATAAATCACTGAAGCTTCATGGAAGCCGATGATTTTTGTTGCTGGAGACCAGGTCTGATAAATTACATACATGAGTAATTTTTAATCCTGAGAGTAACAGCAGTGTGTGTGTGTGTGTGTGTGTGTGTGTGCGCGTGCGCGTGCGTGCCTGGAGAATGGATTGCACACATAAATATTGGAAGATATGGCCCTAACCACTTTCTCCTTTAGCTTGAAATGTCTCTTGGTGTGTAGAACTTCTTGAGCTTTCCACTCAACATCATATTTAGTGAGATCAAATATATTTACTCTTTTTAAATGTTAGGCTCTATTTACAGATCTTCAGATATAATTAAACACCTTTATACCTGGGTTTTTATATGGGTGCTATTGCAGCTGAGTAATGTGGTAGAAGACTATTTCCCTCTGGTTTACTGGTTCAGCTTTGGTACAGTTTCATGGGAGATGATTGGAAGGAAACATTACAGGCCTTTATATCTGGAGTTTTTGTTTCTTCTAAATACCGTTTTTAATTACATTTAAGAGAAAACCACACCAAAATAACAAAAAATCCCAAGGCACGAAACACAAAACAATCCCTCAAACAGAAACAAATCCTGTGAAATACTTTGAATATATCCAAAGAATTGTACATATATGAAGTTTTCTTGAGACTCCTGTGGTTACCATTAACTGCCAAGGGCACATAAATGCACAAACAGATTATAGAGAAAACAACAGTAAAACGGTCTAGTGCGTCATACCAAGCCTGGAGTTCCACTACCAGTTTAGGAGCCTCTTAAGTAATATACAGTGTTGCAAATAAAGAGATATGTTCTCCCCAAAATAGTAAAGTTACGAATGGTTTGAAAACAGAGCATTTAAAATCTGAGTAAAATAGGAACTGTGCTCCTTTTCATACAAATAATACGTTTTTTTCCATAGATAAAATGGTCAAACCAATTCTAAAGTGAAGATCTGAGGTCCAAAGCTTATTAAAATTAAAATGCAAAAAAATCTAATAATGTGATGACCTGTATTTGATTGGATGACAAGGTTTATGTTGTATATTATTTTTAAAAAATAGACATTTAGTCGCTTGTGAGGAAACTTGTTAATTTGGCATGTGCTAATTAAAATCTGTAACTTTAGGTATGAAAATAGCTTCATGAAATTCAGGGCGACTGATCACGTGTAAAGATGAGCATGTGGAAAGCATGGCAAGATTAGTAGGTAACTCAAGGGATCTGATAAATCTAGAGGGGAAGGTCAACAGTTCATGTGTGTCTACTGAACTGGTGTGGGACAGATTTGTGTGGACATGATATTGCAATTTGATATTTATTTACAAGTCTCAGAAAGTCTGTTGCAGAAGAATTATTGGACACAAAAATTATTGGAAGGGAATGACGAATTTTTATTTCTGTTGTTTTATTCTCAATAAAGGAAGATGTAAAACTATCCAGAAAGACGTTAATTACTGAAGGAGTGACTTCTATAGAGCTCAGCGAGGACAAAGAGGTATTTGCAGTACTCTTTTTTTAGAAAACAGGCAGCATGCTTATGAATAAAATATTGTATTTACTCACACACCCCATGCACCTTTCCACTCAGAATTGGCCTCCTGAAATTGGGGCATGTGTCTTAAGTAGGGAAACTGATTGTTTTTCTCTTTGCTGGACTAAAAGAGGGTGGAAAAGAGCAAGTGGACACTGATTTATAGCTCCCGCTTCTTCCTGGAGCTGCAAATAGCAGGGGCAGAATCAAGCATCACCCCCCTTGCAGCTCTTGGTGAGGCAGTAGCTTTTGGCTGAAGAGCTTCTGAGTTGACTGAGGGCGAATGAGCAGCTACGTCCAGTCTGTAATATCTTAATGAGGCTTATAACATTTTCTTATATAAAGAACTATTTATAGTAAGACAGTATCAGTCTTACTACTGCCCAGGTAAGTGACTGGGGCCTGACTTTTTTGGTGTCCCGCCACGCCAGTTTTTCATGTTTCGCCCAGACTTATGGTGACCAACCACCCAGTTTTTCCTGGGACAGTCCCAGATTTTGGAGGCCAGTTCCAGGCATGGAGCACAGATTAAAATAAATGTCCTGGGCATGGGGTGCAGTCTACTGGGGAAGGGAAGCAGCCTGGTCCCCCAGGAAGGTGGCCAGGCAGGCTGCCTGTTGCAGCGTACCGCTCTGCCTCCACCTCTGCCTCTCCTTGCAGCAGGCCACTGACTTGGGTGGTAGGAAAGGGTGATGGAGCAGGGACAGTGTCATGGAGGGCCTGTATTTCCAGCTGGGATGGAAGATCATCCTACCAAGACTGTTCCTGGGGATGCCACACTTTCTGGACACTGTCTGCTTCCAGGAGGACTCTTATGCTACACAGTTGTCCATGACTGGACATTTTTTTTCCCTCCTCTAGTTTCTGCCTTCCAAAAACAAGGTTTGTGTCTTATTTGTGGGTATGTGGTATTAGGAAAACTGGGTAGGTGGTTATGATGCAGTTGGGACAAAGAGAGAGGAATGCTGTGCACAGCTTTCAAAATGTGTCTTACCATGCAGATTTTTCGTTCCTGGAGAAGCTGGTAGGAATATTCCCGTGGTAACTGCTGAAATTTAATTCTGGATTCTGCTTCCATTGCCAAGAAAAGGATTGTTTGCTTGTGCATCGATTCTCTTAAAAAAACAAAACTTCCAGAAAATCATAGGGCACAACCCTCTTTATTTGCCTAACACATTTTACTCCAGCTCCAGCTTAGACTGTACCTTTCTGTCTGTTGATACAGACCATGCCAAGCCTCCACAATGTATGTTAAATCAGTGAGGTGGCATCTGCATGCGGGTTGCAAATGAGCTCGGTCTGTCAGTCAGTCAGGTCTCACAGGCAAAGCAGTGGTGGGCTCAGTCAGAGCTTGGATGAGAAACCTCTTTGTCAAATGAAGCCTTCTGCAAGAAGTAGCACTGAAACGGTGATTCATTTGGTGGACTCCTTCCTTTTGGTTCAGTACTGACGCAGATGCACCAGCCTGGGGTTGGGTGGCCCTGTGCTTCTACTTGTTTTTGAAACGAGCTGTAAAATGATACTGCGACCAGCTGTAGTTAAGATTTTTGTGGCCCTTTTGTGAATGATCAGGATGTTTAGGTTCTTGGCCAAAGTAAGAGCTGGTTCTGTTCCATCTCAAAACGCCTCTCCTTGTTTCAGCTGCCTCGTTTGTGGTACGCCAGAAGAAAACAGAACAAGAATTGAACACGAAGTCAGGGCAGAAAGGGCCAAATCCTATTCTCTCTCTAGCATACCTAAGCAAGATCCTATTCTGCTGTGCCCAAAGTCCCTTCAAAAATGTTCATGCAAGGCTGAGTCCTTTTCCTTGCTGCTTCATGTGACTCAGGCCTCTGCCTAAGATGAAAGTGCAGTACAAAACGTTGTTTTTTCAGGAACTCAAGCAAGATAGAGTAAGGTCACACACGCTTGAAAGTCTGAGTGCTATCTAGATGGTGCAATCAGATAAATTACATATTCAATTGAAACTATGGGGAAGTTTTAGGGAGAACATAATCAAACACATACACAGGTACATGTGCATCCAGCTCTGTATCAGCTGTGGCCAAACTGTGGCTTCTAGAAAGTTTAAAGGAGGGTCCTAGAGAAAGTAATTTAATGCCAAATAATTTTTGGAACTGGGGCACGGTGCACTGGCTCTGAAGCATGTGCATCTCAACGGTGTTGGGTTTTACAGCTGTGTCAGGATTTTGGCTTGTTCCTAAAAGGGTTGCATACATGCTCTATATAAATGCTGTTGTTGTTATCTATAGGTATCTCTATATCTATATAGATATATAAAATAAACTCGGAAACAAGGCTGCCTCTTCTGAAACATTATGTCTAATCTTTTACTTTCAAATTCTTTTAGGTAAAGAAAGCCTTGAAGCTAAGTCTGGTAAGCTGATAAAAAGAACTTCAGGAATTTACTTGCTAATTTCTTTATCATTTAGACTGGTAAAGATGTCCTCATTTTCCATTTTTGTCTTTTTTCTTTCTTTCAAGTCCTCTGTGCATCCTGATACTGGTGATGTAATTACGTTTCTATTTAGACCACCAGGTAATTGCCACAACAGAAGTTTATTGCACAATTATTCTGGGTTTTAGCAAAAAAGCTTTTCTGGGTAACAGTGATGCTTTGATAGTTACAAAAAAAAGGAGGCCAGTGTTACTCCTGTTGGTTTTGTCTTAATTTTAGACTATTCCCATCATCCTCTAAAGAAAACTTAGGCATTTTACATAATTTGTTTCCTCTGAATAGCATCTACACTTGGGCATCCCTAGGTGGAAATGTACTGACTGGTGGCTGGTTTTTGGCACCATGAGGCCCATACCTAGATCCCATTACATATAAAATCATCTGTCATGGCGTGCTGGGTTTTCTCTTAATCCACACAGCTCCTGAATGAAACGAGGTGCTGTGCTGAAGACTGGTTGGGGTCCATCCTGCTGGGTAAGATCTGGTTGGGATCCTGAAATAGGGAGCCAAGACAGCATAGAGACTAATTCAGGCACAGATATGCTCTCTTGAAGACTGCTTATTCATTACCTCCTGTGGCCTCTCGCTTTCCTTATACAAACCTTGTTGTCACCTTTGGGAAAGGTGAAGTCCCTTCAGAACTCAGTTATGTTTCTTCCCATTAGCTCTGTTGATGTGGACTTTTGCAAGAGTTGTCTTTATGAGCTGAGAGTGAATGCTATTTCAGTGATGTTTCTACCTCTTGCATAGGGGTTGAAAGACAAAGGTAAAAATACCTTAATTCAGGCCTTAGCTGTCATTGCTTTCTTGTGGGCTAGTAGTGTACACCTGCCTTTTCTGCCCCACGCTTTCCCCCCCGGCCCCTACAGCCACTAGATTAGCCCCATGAAACTTTTTTTTAGTAGCATTAACTATTCTGTCTCTTTTCTTTTTTCAGTCCTCCTGCCTATAACTTTTCTACTGGTGAGTAATGATTGGAGATTGCAGCGTGCTTATGTGGATATGTGGAAAACCTAAGTTTTCCAAGGTATTGAGTGATTTTCTTGATTTGGGTGCCCAACATGAGGTCCCTTAAAAAAAAAAAGTTTAGTTTTTAGAAAGTTCTGGAAATTGTGTTCCTTAATGTGTGGGGTTGGACACCAAAATCACCAGATAGACCTGAATGCTTTTCGCACACAAAGGCAAGCCTTGGAAATCTATGATACATTTAGATCAAGGGCAGACTTTTCTGTGATAGACTCAGAATAGCTGCCTTAAGTTTGAAGGGAACGAAGTCCTCATGTTCTGCTGCTCAGAACCAGAGTCCTTATCTTCTTTCTCCATAAATAGTGTGAATGCAAGGGAAACAAACAGGGACAAATAATGGGAAAATAACTCTAATGATAATGGTCCAGAGCTGTAATTCATGTGTCAGGGAAATGTGCATAAAGAATCAGAAGAGTCAAAACTTTTAGAGTTCAACTAAATGAAATGACATTAAGATATTTAGCCAGGTGTTCAGATTATTGCACGAATCTGTGGTACTGTGAAAAAGTTTGGGTCAAAACCTTCATAGCTCTTACTCTATGAACAACAGTGAAACTGGTGGAAGCAGTCTTTTGTAATACACAAGTTCATACCCTTGTAAGGAGAAGAAGATTTAGTGCCAGCATAAGCAACGAGTTGTGTAATCCACTGGTAAATGTGTGTTACACACCCCCTCCCTCTCTCATTGCGAGATTGGACTGCACTTTCTTGCTAGTGGCCATCATTTGATCAACACAAAGGGCATTTACAATGAAAATGAGCTAGCCTCTTTAGCCGAGGACTGCATAAAAGCCATTGCCATGAATGACTGGTGCCTCCTGAATCTGGGGGGGGGCACTCGCAGAAGACGCTAACGGTGGCAGCCCTGTAAGGGGGGCACCAGCCCTACCAACAGCAGCAGTGTCGGCCATCAGTGGGGGCACCGGCCCCGTCAGGGGGGCCACGTGCACTCCCATGAACCCCTACCAGTCACCTATGGCCATTGCCTTTGTAGGTCAGGCACAGGGGGAGCCATGTAATACACCCTGACCATTGTGGGTTCCAGTTGTACCACTTACGAGCCAAATTCAGGTGTGGCATCTAAACGTACATCTAAAATGGTAACACCTGGAAAGTAACTAATAAAAGGACCAGGCCTGGAATCAAGTTAAATCAAGCTTTTATAGCCTCCAACTAAGACTCCAGCATTTTGACCTTCATCTTGTTCTTTGTCTTGGATGTTTCTACTTAACTTTATTTTCAGGCATTTTTGAATTCCATGGCTATGCATATTTTTCCTGGTGAGAGAATGCTTTGCACAAATAGTTTTACACCCAGTAC